CATATCCATATCCATCGTGTGGGCGGCAGTGAACCTATCCATATCAATCGTGTGGGCGGCAGTGGACCTAACCATACCCATCGTGTGGGTGGTAGTGGACCTATCCATACCCATCGTGTGGGCGGCAGTGAACCTATCCATATCAATCGTGTGGGCGGCAGTGGACCTAACCATACCCATCGTGTGGGTGGTAGTGGACCTATCCATACCCATTGTGTGGGCGGTAGTGGGAAAAGTTACAGAGGCACATAATGGGCTCAGGAACTTAACCCCACGATTCATTTAGCTAAGCAAGTTGGTCTTGATAAGCTAGTGACACAGCTTAATGTATTGATCAGCAGTATTTTATAGCACAATTGGTTCAAGAACCGGACCCCCAACAGTTCCGGTTGAGTAATTTACATCTGTGGCAAGTCATTCCGCAGTTCACAGTGCCATTCCCCAGTTCACAGTACCATTCCCCAGTTCACAGTACTATTCCCCAGTTCACAGTGTCATTCCCTAGTTCACAGTACCATCTTGAGGTTATCTTGAGATGATTTCGGGGCTTTAGTGTCCCCGCGGCCCGGTCCTCGACCAGGCCTCCACCCCCAGGAAGCAGCCCGTGACAGCTGACTAACTCCCAGGTACCTATTTACTGCTAGGTAACAGGGGCATTCAGGATGAAAGAAACTTTGCCCATTTGTTTCCACCTCGTGCGGGAATCGAACCCGCGCCACAGAATTACGAGTCCTGCGCGCTATCCACCAGGCTACCATTCCCCAGTTCACAGTACCATTCCCCAGTTCACAGTGTCATTCCCCAGTTCACAGTACCATTCCCCAGTTCACAGTACCATTCCCCAGTTCACAGTACCATTCCCCAGTTCACAGTGTCATTCCCCTGTTCACTGTAATTTCCCAGGTCCTAGTGGCACTCATCCATGTCACATTGACACTCATCCACGTCAGTGACACCCCTATGATGTTTGGAACCGATTTCATCATCTTACAGCCTCATAAACACGGACGAAATATTTTTTTACTGTCATGGTGAAATGTGTAGAAATGCACACATGTTCATCAATTTTTAAACTATATTTAAATTAATTAACTACAACATGTAACAATTTTAATGAAATAATCTTGTTAAATTTCCATTGTCAGTTTAGATTCTTTAATTCTAAAAAAAAGTCCAGATTTTTTCTTTTTTTAAATGAACAAAAGAAATCAACATCTATACACAGTGGCATTTGGGGAAAAACATTCTACCCGTTTGGTTTCACAGAATTCCATACATCAATTATCTAAGTCTGATGAAAGAGCTAATTGTCACTCAAAATATTGTTATTCATTGTTATGAACAAATTATAGTAAAAATTTATAATCAAATCGTGATAGGCACTGGAAGTTGCAAATCATATTTCAATAAATAAACTTTATAAACCATCATCCACTGGGATTCTCGTGAATAAATAAGTTACATTAAAACCCGCCTTTTTGAAGTCAAGAAGTCTTTATTCTCAGTTAAACAAGGTTTACATTATTCTATGTATTTTAGAGAGTTTTCCTACTACTGTACGCGGCTTCGAATTTCGACTAGTAACTCTCTTGTCATGGAGTTTATAATATTTCCTGCGTTTGTGCTCCTTTCACTAGACATGCCAACAGACAAATGCCTCATCCCGGACTGGCAACCCATATTGTCCACCACATTTTTTTGCAAACTGTAGGTATCAAAAGGAAACTCCCATTATGTAGGTGACACTGTAGCCTAGCATCATCCCTGAATGTTTTACAGTCCACAGGTGTACCTCCACGAGACATTCTACAGGTGTACCTCCACAAGACAGTCCACATGTGTACCTGCACAAGACAGTCCACAGGTGTACCTGCACAAGACAGTCCACAGGTGTACCTGCACAAGACAGTCCACAGGTGTACCTCCACGAGACAGTCCACAGGTATACCTGCACAAGACAGTCCACAGGTGTACCTCCACTAGACAGTCCACAGGTGTACCTCCACGAGACAGTCCACAGGTATACCTGCACAAGACAGTCCACAGGTGTACCTCCACTAGACAGTCCACAGGTGTACCTCCACTAGACAGTCCACAGGTATACCTCCACAGGACACTCCACAGGTGTACCTCCACGAGACAGTCCACAGGTGTACCTCCACAAGACAGTCCACAGATGTACCTCCACAAGACAGTCCACAGGTGTACCTCCACAAGACAGTCTACAGGTGTACCTACACGAGACAGTTCGCAGGTGTACCTCCACAAGACAGTCCACAGGTGTACCTCCACAAGACAGTCCACAGGTGTACCTCCACAAGACAGTCCACAGGTGTACCTCACCAAGACAGTCCACATATGTACCTCACCAAGACAGTCCACAGGTGTACCTCACCAAGACAGTCCACATGTGTACCTCCACTAGACAGTCCACAGGTGTACCTCCACTAGACAGTCCACAGGTGTACCTCCACAGGACAGTCCACAGGTGTACCTCCACGAGACAGTCCACAGGTGTACCTCCACAAGACAGTCCACAGGTGTACCTCCACAAGACAGTCCACAGATGTACCTCCACAAGACAGTCCACAGGTGTACCTCCACAAGACAGTCCACAGGTGTACCTCCACGAGACAGTCCACAGGTGTACCTCCACAAGACAGTCCACAGGTGTATCTCCACAAGACAGTCCACAGGTGTACCTCATCAAGACAGTCCACAGGTGTACCTCCACAAGACAGTCCACAGGTGTACCTCCACAAGACAGTCCACAGGTGTACCTCCACAAGACAGTCCACAGGTGTACCTCCACAAGACAGTCCACAGGTGTACCTCCACAAGACAGTCCACAGGTGTACCTCCACAAGACAGTCCACAGGTGTACCTCACCAAGACAGTCCACAGGTGTACCTCACCAAGACAGTCCACAGGTGTACCTCCACAAGACAGTCCACAGGTGTACCTCACCAAGACAGTCCACAGGTGTACTTGCACAAGACAGTCTACAGGTGTACCTCCACAAGATAGTCCACAGGTGTACCTCCACAAGACAGTCCACAGGTGTACCTCACCAAGACAGTCCACAGGTGTACTTGCACAAGACAGTCCACAGGTGTACCTCCACAAGATAGTCCACAGGTGTACCTGCACAGGACAGTCCACAGGTGTACCTCCACAAGACAGTCCACAGGTGAACCTCCACTAGACAGTCCACAGGTGTACCTCCATAGGACAGTCCACAGGTGTACCTCCACAGGACAGTCCACAGGTGTACCTGCACAAGATAATATGACCAGAGGGATTACACTCCAGGGACCTGGCCCTATATTGTAGAATGTCCCATATTGACTGACTTTCACCCTCCTGGGCTGAGGTATGCTGAACTCTGTAACTACTATATGAGTACTGGAACACTTGATGATATATTTGCCATGTACCCTAGATTGACCATGTAATGTATCAATTATACAATGTATGTATGTGATGTAACTATATAACCTGAGCTTGTAAAAGCATCTTAATCACCTTCAGTGGTTAAGTTCTTAATTGCACACTAGTTTTTCTATCAGCTATCTCGCCCTGTCAGAGTAAAAGAGACAAGTGTATGTATGTATGTATGTATGTATGTATGTATGTATGTATGTATGTATGTATGTATGTATGTATGTATGTATGTATGTATATATGTATGTATCTATGCATATGTGTGTGTATGTATGTGTATAAAGTATATGTGGAAGCTGATCAGAATTACATTTCACCTTTGTAAATGCACATTAATGACACAATGTAAAAGACACGTCGAACACTTTATGTAGGGCAGACGTAAATCTGTGTATCTATGTATTTACCTATGTAGCTTAGCCTAGCATTTTAAAAACACTACAATCGCCTTCTGTGTTGATTGTTCAATAAATCCCTGAACTATATGTTTGATAAATCTCTTACCCCTGTCCATGGAGGACAGAAGAAAATGTATATATGCTGGTTAGCATTGTAAATGTGTGGCCACGTCTGTGGTAGAAAATAATAATTAAAAAAAAACTTCGGCGTCAGAGAGATTCTCAACCCTCGATACCAATTGGTCGTTTGCTATTAGACTCATCACCTGCCAGCATACACAGTTACTAACCCATTAAGATTTCAACTTAGATTCAACAGAGCAGAAGAAGTTGTTAAACACATATGACAAAATCTTACTGAAGCGACCATACGAGTCATAAATACTCATACTCCGCCCAAGTAAAACAGAAACAAGCAACACTTAGTGGGCCAGCCAGAGGCTTAGGGCCCGCGCAGGAATATCCCTGAAAAAAAACTGCCAGCATTTCTGGAATGCACATTTATTTGTTGTGGCCTATTTGTTCTTTATTACCACTTTATTTTTTCTCCTTATGAGAATTAGTAAGAAGGGACCTTGTTATTGGTAGTATTGCATTAAATATATATTATAATCACTTCGGATTTTCGTTTTTGATAAAATGTACATACACAATTTGTACTCTAGTCAGGAAAACTAGAGTATAGACTCGTCTTTCTATCGATTATTCTATACAAATAATATATTTTGGTGGATTAACCTACCCTATTTTAGATTATCTTTGGTTACTAAAATATGCTTTTTCACTGCTTTCATAATTAAAGGAGTTCAAGATGCAGAAAAGGTCAAGAACAACTATTTAGCAGTAATTGGAGATTTAATTTTGGTCTAATTCCTCTATGACGCAGAGATTGGAGAAATTAATTTCCAGCGGAAATATTTACTTTTTTATCGGAAGCTTATGAAGAGATGAACTTATAGCTAGTTTTTTTATCTACATTGTGTAATCTTTCATATAGAATAGAGTAGCAGCACATTGCTATGCATACCTAAGCTTGTTAATAAGAAAAAAGAAGAGTAAAAACTATTGAGAGAATACAGCTTTTGAAATATGGTAAGGTCATAGTGTCTCAGGGTGTGCTCTCAAAGTGACCATGCACTGGAATAAATAAATACTGCATTAATATTTTTTTGTTTATTTACATAAATATATTCAGCTTAAATATAGAACATGCAGGGACCTGGACAATTTGATGTTGCCAATATATGTCAGGACACTAGACTCAAGGTTCATCAGCACAGGTCCAGGTCCATCATTGTGGACCTGGACCTGTGTCATACACCTGTCATCAGGAGTATTTTGTCATACACCTGATGACAAAAACCTACACAACTGTTATTGTCCCACGTGACAGTTATAAATATAATTTTGGAATCTTAGATATTCGACACCAAAGATTGTTTAATTTTCCTGTGGGGGTCAATACCGTGCTGTTGCTACGCAGGATGGTTCTACACTACCAACTCCTGTCTTCCCAGACATTTACCATATGGTTTAAATATGGCTCTAACGCAAGCATCTTGGCTTGTTCAGTCGGGAGGTACGCTCCTTACTTTACATGGCTAAAATACTCGTACATGTGCAAAATTACGATGGTATATAATCCCAGTAATCTCCAACGGTGACCTTCATTTCAGGTAGTACTGAATTTGCTGTATCTTTGATCCACTTGCTGGCATAGGGCACGTTGGCATATACGCCTGGGATGCCACCTTCTCCACATCCAATGCCCCATGCTACGATGCCGGCCTGCACGAACTTGTTGGGTGCTACCTGGCACATCAGTGGGGAACCACCGTCACCCTTACACGTGTCTAACCCGGCTTCACCTCCCGCACAGTTGAAAGATTTGTCCAGATTGAAAAATTTACCCAACCTAGTAGTTCTTAGAGCAGCTTGGCATTTATCGTTGGGAGTAAGACTCAGTTTAATCTTCTTCAAAACATTTTGGAATTCTCCTTCCTTTCCAAATCTATCTTTGCCCCAGCCTGTCGCCCAGCACTCTGTTCCAAGCAAGTTCTGGTCCTGATTAGGGAGACATAGTGTATCAACATTGGGCGCCAACTCAAATGGTTGATCTAAGAACAAGAGGGCAAAGTCATTGAAGAGAGGACCAGACTTATAGCCCTGGTGAACGACGACCCTGGCCACATTACGGTCCTGGTGAGGGAAGAGTTCATAGGTACGCTGGGTGTCCCATTCTCCAGCCCGGACCTTGAGCACGCCAGCCTCCCAAGAGGCGACGCAGTGGGCGGCGGTGAGCACAATAGAAGGATGGATCAGTGAACCTCCACATACGTACAGGTTAACAGGCTTGTCAATCACCACTTCTTCCTGCCTCAGGACCGCAATCATCCACGGGAACTCGCCAAACTGCGCCTGGTTATCCTGTTGAGAGGAATAAATCACATGAGACATAAGTATACAAACATTAACGATTTTGTTGATATTATTAAGTTTCCATGAATTTTTACCTCAGGGCCACTAACACACTAGTGGCCTCGATGAGGACAGGAAGCAGCGGCTTGTCAAAAGTCCCCCCCCCTTTTACTCTGATGATTTTTCCCAGTTCTATTTTAAGATTTAAGTTTTGGCACTTACGGCTTCGGCGAGTAGGCGTTGAAGTAAATGACTGCTCTTTTCATTTATGCTTAAAGACTTTGATTATATTTTGTGTTCTTCGATTACTTACTTCATATTCCACACAGCCATACAAGCCTACATTTGTTTTATAGAGCTAGGGCGGCGCAAGCCCAAACTTATCAGTCCCCTATTCTAGTCTGTACGAGGCTAGCTGCTTGTACCATAATAATAATAATTTATTTGCAAGGAAGAACAATGGGTTGGTGAGATTACATAAGCTTGGTATTTTTACATTCATGCAAAGCCACTAGCATGCAAAGCGTTTCGGGCAGGTCCTTAATCTAACATATCAGGTAAGATGAAAGGGTACATTGTAGCAAGGTTTTTATATCAACAGATAACTACAACATAAGTTAACAGAGTAAACTTATGTTGTAGTAATAGTAATACGCAATAGTCCCCACAACCCTAACATACCCGCATTAAACTAACTGAATATGCTGACCTATAACTTTAATTCAAGTTGCATAGCTTATTCTAAAACCCATGTCTAATGTAGGCAAAATCTTATGTCATTAAAACAATGTCAAACAAATTTTTAAAGATGTATAACGAAATTGTATTATATGTTATGGTTCGACAAAGAAGCTCTACCTAATGATAGGTTACAACTCTTATCTTCCCCAACGCGGAGAACTGCGAGTAATAACTTCTCAGTGCAGAATTTAAGAAGCTTGTTTACAAACTAGATCTGAATAAGTGTTAAGGTGGATGTGGTGAATGCATTTGTTCCATGTAGTAAGTGAAAATTAGAATTTGTGGAGTAATTTAGAGCAAGATTTACTCGATCCACAAATATTGTAGTCATTGTTTAGGGCGATCTGAATCATAAAGTGAGAATAGGCTTTTCAAATTGCATTATGGATGCACCTGGCGTTCCAGCAGTAAATAATAATGGTTACAAAGGTCTTCAGTTAGTGTTGTGTATTACTAATACGAAGTATAAGGCTATATATGAATGGTAGACAATGAGAGTGCTATGTATAGTATGGAAAAGCTGCAACCATAATGAGGCATATGCAGGAAAATTAGGGACAGCAGAGAATGGGAAATGCAATATGTGTAAATTATTTGCCAGAAAGCTTAGGAAAGTGGTAGTGTCAGATGACAGGAAAAAAGAGCTGTGATTATACATTTACAGTGTATTAAAATAATTGTGAATGTTGCGTGCAAGAACTATAGAGAAAGGAGTCTACTTCAGGGATAACCCAACCACTCTGATTTTACGGGGTATTCATGAACATGCCACCTTTTGGGTGGCTTAATCTTTATCAATCAATCAATCACTTTGATTGGTCTGTAGACGGGTCTTGTGTCTTGAGGTTATCTTGAGATGATTTCGGGGCTTTAGTGTCCCCGCGGCCCGGTCCTCTACCAGGCTTCCACCCCCAGGAAGCAGCCCGTGACAGCTGACTAACACCCAGGTACCTATTTTACTGCTAGGTAACAGGGGCATAGGGTGAAAGAAACTCTGCCCATTGTTTCTCGCCGGCGCTCGGGATCGAACCCGGAACCACAGGATCACAAGTCCAGCGTGATCCCCGTCTTGTAGGTAGGCATTTGATCCCCGTTTGTCCAGGTGGTTGGGTACCGTTCCTTCCCTGTCCTCGTATCCCTTGTTGTCACACTGGCATAGCACTCTCTCCATAGCCGGTCGGCCGAGCGGACAGCACGCTGGACTTGTGATCCTGTGGTCCTGGGTTCGATCCCAGGCGCCGGCGAGAAACAATGGGCAGAGTTTCTTTCACCCTATGCCCCTGTTACCTAGCAGTAAAATAGGTACCTGGTTGTTAGTCAGCTGTCACGGGCTGCTTCCTGGGGTGGAGGCCTGGTCGAGGACCGGGCCGCGGGGACACTAAAAAGCCCCGAAATCATCTCAAGATAACCTCAAGATAGTGGAAGTAGTGTTTTTCATAGTGGAAAAAGTTGTATGGATCATATACTGTCTCGAGGCGGGTAAAAAGGTCTATACAACATTTATGACCTTTGATACAGTGAAGAGAGTATTACTCTGGATGTTAATGAATGTATATGGATTTGGTGAAATATTAAATACTATTAAGAGGAATTGAATCACGTGTTTAAAGTTAATTATGTAAAGGGCAACTGGTTTTATTTATTGTAGGAAATATTAGGCTTGTGTGATGTTCCCGTGACTGTAAACTGTATATATAAATGGGGTGACGCGTGAAGGGTATTTTCAGGGGGGAAAAGCGCTAAGCCATTACGACTATATAGCACTGCGAAGGGGTCAGGATAAGGATTTAGGATTGGACGGGGGGGGGGAGGGGAAGAATGGTGCCCAACCACTTGGAACGATTGGGGATTGAACTCCGACCTGCATGAAGCGAGACCGTCGCTCTACCGTCCACCCCAAGTGGTTGGACCGGGTGACGAGTGAGGCAAAGATAAATATTCCAGGACGCTGAAAATAGTGAATGAAACGTATAAATCGAGTTTATAAAACGCGACGTATGGTAACACAATTCTTACAGCAGAAACTTGGACATGTGTAGATTAATTGACACTGGTTGATGTATGTGAAAGAAAAGTGCTAATGGTGACTGTGCACAAGGTAAACTTGACGGTTGAGGACAGAAACAAGTGTGACATAAGGGGTCAACCACTTCCTGGAGACGCCCAGGAAATGATCAAACAGCTTAAATACCCTAAATACCCGGACAAGTGTATAAAGTCCAGGATAGGAAGACTTATATTAGGTAACTACATTTCTTACAGACATTCCGTGTTTAAGATATAAACTAACCTTGAAGCCGAGGATGCGAGCGTTGACTCCCTGAGGGTTACGGCGACCACAGTCGGAAGTGTAGGGTATGGGAGTAGGGGGCACTGTGTTCTGTGGGTTGTTGCAACACACGTCCAGGAACTGTGGACACTCGGAACTCGACCGAGAAGCGGTGGTGTTCCCTCCAAATCTGTGGCAGATGTATAGAATTGGAAGTTTTAAGTACTGTATATAGTTTGAGGTCTATCAATTCAGTTTAATTCATTTATTATGCACCCCATACCCATCTTGTGGGCGGTAGTGGATAGGGTTACAGAGGCACATAATGGGCTCAGGGACTGAACCCTACAATTCATTTAGCTAAGCAAGTTACACTCTTGGTGAACTAGTTACAAAATTCAGTATAAGTCGTCACATCAACACTGGGTTCGAGATCGACCACAAGTACAGTGTCTAAATTAAGTAACTGACATATGTGGAGAGCTAGTGTCACAATTGATATGTTTGTCATGCACACCGCCCCCCCCCCCCCCATCCAGTGGGCAGCGGTGGATAGGTTACAGTCTATCATTAGTACATTAGTATCATTACAGTCTATCATTAATACATTATATTACAGTTGTAGTTACTACCTACAGTTAGCAAAGTGGGGATATTTGGCTAAAATTTCTGGTATACAAGCAGAATTGGTGGTTTATACAGTGAGATTGCGGCCTACCTTATGTCGATGAGTCCAGCTCCATCGGTAATGATATCGCCTTCCTTGCACAGGTAGTAGGGCACACAGCTGCCCTCGCCACCATTGCAGCTTGCATAGTTGCCGTCTCCCACGACGCGCTCCACAGGCACTGGGGTTTCGACAGATACAGGTTCGGCTGGGTTCCCAGTGCCGTCTTTAGTTGGATCAACTGGGGTGGTGCAGCCCGGCTCCCACCAGAAGCATTCGTCACCAGCCTGTCTTCGTTCCCTCGGAGTGGCAGTAACCACTGTCGCCACCGTTACTACCACCACCGCTAAAAACGACCACATCCTGCAGGCAAATAAACTGTTGCTGCACACGTTATTGTATACTACAAGGAAACATCTACGCATAGATGCTTGACGTAATAATACAAGAGAACACATCTGTTCACTTTATTACACTATTGTGACATGTATCAGTATAGGGAGAGTTACAGGCGCTCTGACTTCCCTCATCCTCTCATGTATCTAGTACCAGCAAGTACTGAAATGCCAGGCTTTCCATTTGCCTACGTCAACGGACAGATGGACACAGTAGTTTTATATCTGATCATCTTCCGTTATCTAGGCCTTGATAATTTAAGCATTTAAACATCTAACTACATATTACTGTAAGTCTAAAAGACTCCAGAATGCAAGTTTACAAACAATTTGTTGTATTGAAGATAAATGAAAAGATGAGTCAGTTGTGGGAAGGGCAATAATAATAATAATAATAATAATAATAATAATAATAATAATAATAATAATAATAATAATAATAATAATAATAATAATAAAAAGTTGGCGGCGTGTGGAAGCCTCGCCAACCAACGTATCTTAGTAAAATCAGCTTTATTTAATACCATGCTTGGCTCCTTTGGTAATTACTTGTATTACTTATCACGTTTGTAAATGTATTTTAAATTTTTTCATAGTTTTTCTTTTTTACTTAAATTTGCAAATAGTCTAGCTTATTTTTTTACTTGACGGAGGCTACACCTTTCATTACACCCTATGTTTTTCACTGTAGCCATCTTCAATACACGCTACCATCCTCACCACTGTAACCATCTTCACTAAATACTGTCTTCAACTCTGTAACCACCATCACCACCCTTACACCACTGGTGCAAAAGGCTGAACACAAGGTACCATCTGGGAAGTGAAATCTTGCAAGAGTCAAATAAAGAAAGATCTTGGGGTTGATATCACACCGAACCTGTCCCAAGAAGCACACGTCAAAAGGATATCATCAGCGGCATATGCTAGATTGGCCAACATAAGAACTGCCTTTAGAAACTTGTGTAAGGAATCGTTCATGACCTTGTATACCACTTATGTCAGACCAATCCTGGAAAATACAGCTCCAGCCTGGAGTCCATACCTAGTTAAACACGAGACAAAGTTAGAAAAGATTCAGAGGTATGTTACCAGACTAGTCAGAGAACTTAGAGGAATGAGATACGAGGAAAGGCTAAGGGAGCTAAACCTCACGTCCTTGAAAGGCAAAAGAGTAAGGGGAGACATGATGCCACCTACAAAATTCTCAGGCAGAGAATTTCCCCAAAATTCTGAGGAATTGACAGGGTGGACAAAGACAAACACTTTAGCACGGGTGGAACACGAACAAGGGAACACAGGTGGAAACTTAGTACCCAGATGAGCCATAGAGACATTATAAGTATTTTTTTCAGTGTCAGAGTAGTTAAGAAATGGAATGCATTAAGCAGTGTTGTGAATGCAAACTCCATACACAGTTTCAAATGTAGATATGATAGAGCCCAGTAGGCTCTAGAATCTGTACACCAGTTGATTGACAGTTGAGAGGCGGGACCAAAGAGCAAGAGCTCAACACCCGTAAGCACAACTAGGTGAGTACTGGGTACCTTATCTGCAAACTTCCTTTTCCTTCACCACCTTCCCTACCCCTCACTACCTTCCTTACCCTTCACCACCTTCCCTACCCTTCACCACCTTCCTTACCCTTCACCACCTTCCCTACCCTTCACCACCTTCCTTACCCTTCACCACCTTCCCTACCCTTCACCACCTTCCTTACCCTTCACCACCTTCCTTACCCTTCACCACCTTCCCTACCCCTCACTACCTTCCTTACCCTTCACCACCTTCCCTACCCCTCGCTACCTTCCTTACCCTTCACCACCTTCCTTACCCCTCACTACCTTCCTTACCCTTCACCACTAAGGAAAGAGAAACTAAAAATCTCTAAGCGCTTTCGTGTATAAAAATTTTGAAGAAGTACACTATAGCCAAATTAGAAGGGCGAGGCTATCGGTCAAATTATGATTCCCCAGATAGGGACAGAAAGCCTGTTAGGCTTATCGAGATCCTCCTAGGTCATCTTCTGACCTTCCCCAGGATGCAACCCCCACAACAGTTTCCTAACTACCGGGTACATATTTAATGCTATAAGTGAACAGAGGCATTAGGCGAAATAACCTCCATCCCCCCCAGGCGCATTTGTCCTGCGTTAGTAGAACTCTTAACCTTTCCACTCGCCCGACTTTGCAGGAGGGTTCTGTATGTAGTATGTGGCATGACTAGTAATGGGTGATACTGATTGATTGATGAAGATTAAGCCACCCAAAAGGTGGCACGGGCATGAATAGCCCGTAAGTGGTGGCCCTTTTGAGCCATTACCAGTATCAAGAGCTGATACTGGAGATCTGTGGAGGTGCGACTGCACCCTGCATGACGGGAGGTGTCTCCCCATGGGTGATACTATTTTTACTCTCTCCTCGTTGGTACATATGCATAACTAAATCACATGTTTGTGATTGTTCTTATATATATTATTACTAAAAGGTTGAGGAAGGGGGAGGAGGGTATCCGGCGTGGCTTTGGTGACGGAGGCTACATCTTCATTGTACAGTAACTTCACATTATCTTCACTATCTTTATTACAGTAACTATCTTCAGTACTCACTATCTTTTACATTGTAATCATCCTAATTATGTACCTACCCTCTTCTTCGGCCACTTTACCAACCCTTCACCATCTTCCTCTGTCTTTCAACACATTCGACCCTATTGCAAGTGAAAGGAAGAATCCAATTTATGTTAAAGTGTATTAAAAAAAAAACAAATTTTTGAATGTAACCTACAACCTTTCTCAAGATACTGTATACAATACAATGAACATTATATACACTATCTTGAGACAGGAAGTAGGCTATATCCGAAAATTTGGTTTTTAATACACTTAAACATAAATTGGGTCTTTCCTTCACCGTCATTCAAGCACTACGGCATTGTAGTAAGTTTCTCCACCTTTCCTATTCTTCCCTAACTTCCCTCCCCATCATGACATAAAAGGTATGGGCATCGATCCCGACCCACCAATGACCTTCCCTGTTGAAAGACCAGTTACCCTGCAAAGTTTGGCTAGGCTTGCCTCACGCGTCTGGCCCCAATCTCTTACAGACCACACAGCCTCGCTCTTGTGCCAGGTCAGTCCACTACGGGCTCACCACCACCACCAAAGTAGCCCGTGCTACTTGGAACTTTTGTTCTGAGTAGCTGAATCTAAAACAACAACATCTAACAGACATAATCTTATGAGAAGCTATATACAGAAGACTGCAGTGAAAGTCTCATCTTAAGCAGGAAAGCTATTTACTCAAATTTCGTATATTGACACCTTTTCACTCCTTGATCAAGTAGAGATTTTACTCATCCCGAAAACATAAAATATAAATACAAATATAAGTCAAATTTAAGAGTTCTCCACTAACCAGTTTTTTTTACTGATCAACCTTTTTCATAAAATCATTTTATTCAGTGCAGCCTATCACAAATAAAGACTATTAAATGTATCGTTCCTTATAACGATGATAATAAAGAATGTCTACAAAACATAGACGTAAACATTGCATATAAACCAACCCAGTCTGATCATCAAAGATCAAATGCTCGTTTTAATCCATCCGCCTAAACTCTCCTGTTAATGAATAAAACCACCCTACACACGACTCAAAACTGACGACGTATGGACATTTCTCGAACAGTGCTTCGTTTAAGTCTTCTGCTCGAATCGCATCTCTGTAAATGCCAGCCCGTCCTCCAAACAAAGATACAAAAGTGATTCCATGCATCCGCCAAACCCCCTGTTTATGAATGAAAAACGGTTTACACACTACTCACAACTGATTTCGTTCGAACACTTCCGGAACAAGTGCTTCACTGACGAGTTTTGTTCGAACCACTTCCCTATAAATGCTTCACCCACGTACTACAAATGCAAATAATCGCCAACCGAACCTAAACACCTAACATAACCTAACCTATATATGCACAATATGCTAATATATTATAATACTAATTTATATTTGAGAAAATTCTTGTTTTCAATGAACAACATGTTAAAATTTATGAATGCGTCTGTGGGGGCGACCGCTGGATGTAATGGACTTGAGTCGAGGACGGGTTGTCCAAATAGTGTAAATATTTGTAAATATTTAAATATTTCTTTCACCACCTTCCTTCCTTCCTTCCTTCCTTCCTTCCCCTTCACCACCTTCCTTCCTTCCTTCCCCTTCACCACCTTCCTTCCTTCCTTCCTTCCCCTTCACCACCTTCCTTCCTTCCTTCCTTCCTTCCTTCCTTCCTTACCCTTCACCGCCTTCCTTCCTTCCTTACTCTTCACCACCTTCCTTCCCCCTTCACTACATTCCTTACCTTTTTAATTCCTTACCACTAATTTCAAACAGACCCCAATTTATATTCGTGAACATAAAAGTTTTGAACACGCAGTACGTTCAAATTGATGAATGTATCTTTGGCGTCGACCGCCGGCTAGACGAGTCTAGCCTGAGGACAGGTTACTATAATCATTACCATCAACACATTATTGATCAGGGCTATCAAGAGCTGAATGATAATGTGTATTCTCATTCTAAGTAAAGCAATATCCGGAAAAAATCTACATAATTGAGACATTATTCTAGAAAAAGGCAGGTATGAGTATCCAGATATATATATATATATATTAGGACTGGACGATCATTCTGCTGTTTTCATTTAGTATGAGACAATTTTAATCATTTAGGTAACTGGAAATAGTTTTAAACGAAATTATTACGTTAAAAGACTTAGTAGAATCAAAGATTTTCAAATTCGTTCCAAATGTCAACATCTGTAAGGATTAGTTCAATTTTAAAAAGCCAATTCACGCTAAGATCAGTGGAAATTGACTGGAACCACTTGTGAATGAGAACCATGTGTGTGTGGTGACCTCAACCAGTGATCAGCGCCTCTACACTCCACTTGTGGGTGACGAGGTCTCATGACACACCAAAATCAATCCTATCAACGGCGATTACTGATATAATCTCCTTTCGCCAGTACGAACTACTCGTGTGAGTATATGCGTATGTATATTATTATATATATATATATATATATATATATATATATATATATATATATATATATATATATATATATATATATATATATATATATATATATATATATATATATATATATATATATATAGTATAAATCTTAAGACCTTGGAGAGTCTGGTTTGGCAGGATGTTGTGAATGTGGTTCTTGGAAATCCCAATAAAAACGAGTTTGGTGGCCTCACCACTGTTCTGCCTTTACCACTACACAACTGCTCCATAACGTTACAACTACATGAATCGTTCTTCTGTAAAGAGTTCATGTTGTTTGTTTAGTTCTATTGAAGTATTAATACTTCAACAGGAGCAATATCACACCAAATTCGCTCGCATTACAGGTGCCCCAACGAGCCATAGTCCATCATGGCCCCAAGTTAAGCAGGGTTATAGTCACAAATTTATCCTATTACGTAATTAATTATTATAAACCACTTGTAATGCTTGAATGTACCCTGTATGTAGCAACAGCCTAGTATCCTGGCGGACCATTGGTCACGGCGGAATAACGAATAGGGAGCCACATCACAGGTTTCTTGAAAATATCTATAGCCTCTCCGCATACTATTTTTATTTTTACTTTCTCGGTGAAAATGCTAATTGTAAATTACCTTGTAGCTGGCCCTTGTGTTGAGAGTGGTCGGTCACCAATAGTTACTTGCTCACCACTATCCCAGGAGTGACTGAGGTGTCCGCGGGCGGCCCCAGCTTATATGCTACCGTCCGCTCACCCTGCCAGAACCAAGACAAATTTAACCTTGAACGCATACGGCGATAATTCCAAGTCTGTTTCATAAATATATATCTCTCTCTATATATATATCTGTAATGGAGGTTCACTTACGTAAAAAGTATTCATGATAAATATAATCTATTATTAAAAACGGGTAAATTAAATTATTTATTTCAGATATTAAAGTTATCGTCGTAAGGTGAATGCCCACAACCACAGTATCCTGAAAATGTGTGATATCTAATGGAAGTTGGAGACACATACGTTATCCATGACAGTCAACTGAACGAAAAATATTTTAAATAGAAACCCGGACGGCTATACCTTCAACAATATTATCTCGGTTATAAGCCTATTTGAAAAAAAAACCTATGTAACAGCTGTAGTTCACCGTGTTCTGCATCGCAGTTACAGCCCCGCTCCTGTGCCAGGTAAGTCCACTACGGGCTCACCATAGCCCGTGCTACTTTGGAACGTTTGTTCTAAGGAGCTGAATCTAAAACAAGAGCCGTGTTCTGACAGATCAACAGCTGCAGGAGAGGTGGGTGAGGGGTAGGAGACCAGGGGTGGCAGGAAGGCTGGAAAGCAGGTATGGCGGGAAGGGCAGGGGGTAGGAGACCAGGGGTGCCAGGAAGGCTGGAAAGCAGGTATGGGGGGAAGGGCAGGGGGTAGGAGACCAGGGGTGCCAGGAAGGCTGGAAAGCAGGTATAGGGGGAAGGGCAGAGGGTAGGAGACCAGGGGTGCCAGGAAGGCTGGAAAGCAGGTATGGGGGGAAGGGCAGGGGGTAGGAGACCAGGGGTGCCAGGAAGGCTGGAAAGCAGGTATAGGGGGAAGGGCAGAGGGTAGGAGACCAGGGGTGGCCAAGAAACTAGAAAGGATAAACAGAAGTTAATGCCTGGAAGCCGCCGCGGCTCAAGGTTTCTTGGGAATTATTATCAAGAAAACCCCACTACGTCACCGCCCAGCTCCTCCCTCCACCTGACAGCACAGCGCTTACCTGTGAGCCCAAACCTGGCTCGGGCCATCCTCCCTCTCAGGGTCTCTCTCTCACTCTCTACACACCTGCAACACCTGGCGTGTTCTTCCCTCTAACAACACCTGGCGTGTCCTTCCCTCTAACAACACCCTCAACACCTGTAGTGTGACTACAACCATCCAGCGGTGGTGGGGACAACCATGGGGGTTGTGTCAGGACAACACAAGGTTCAAGCATATTATATATATATATATCTGTTGTTGAATATGACCGAAAGGGTAAGATTAATGATTCTAACACGAATCTTCTTAATATTTCTTATGTTTTTCTTCACTGTCGAGAGAAGTTGGACAAAATTAAGTCTCCAAAGTTCATTTTCACACTTTATTATGGTATGAAGGCTAGGAATGGGTTTCGCAAGGCACTCCTTACATTTTCAAAGACAAATTTCTCACGGTGACACGCCATGCAATCTCTGAAGAATCAACCAACACATCACCTGTACCTCTTATTAGATTGTTTTACAGGAACTTCTTTTGCACGTCTTATGAAACGGAGGCAAGTGTTCTGAAAGGAGTTATTGATAGGAACGTTATCCCCACAGACACCAATCAGAAGATATTAATCAGAAGATAGAATCGCAAGATACAATGAACAATTTACTACGAAAACAAGAAGACCGCCAACCTACTCATGAAGAACTCTCCAGACACCAAACAGAACGCCATAAAAGAGACCAACGTCGTCTATGCCTTCACATGCCCACTTGGGGACTATCAGCCCCAAAGATCTTAGTAAAATAGGCAAGACAAAAACATCTCTCTCCAGGCGATTAACAACGCACAAGCAACAGGGCTCCATCAAGGAGCATGTGATCTCACACAACCAGACCATCACCAGAGACATCTTAACAAGTAACACTGATATAATCGGCAGGTATAACGGCAATAAAAAAGACTGGAGATATGTCTCCAGTCTCCAGTTATCTCTATTTATAAGATTTATCTCTAAATGGCTCAATTTTACTACAATCCAAGATATAGTGTTGGAGTGTGTATCCCTGCCTTTGCCCACATCCTTTACACTTAAATTCCTCTAGATCCACATAACGGGGCAGTATGCTAATTTGGCGAGCGGCTGCCATTTTCTAGTACAGTACGACTATTTTTCGGCCTTAGGTAGAGTGTACGTCAAAATACGTCGTTCTATTAGAAAGACGGGTTTGAATAAAGAACTTGCAACCTTCTTGCTACTAGTCACTCACCTAATCTGGTAACCATTGTCCCAAGGAAATATTAAAACTTAGATTGTCATTTATAAAAGTAGATTTAATTATACAAGAATCATCCCATATAATTTTGTGACCGGTCTCGCTTACACTTACATGCTTGTGCTGTGGTGATCTTTGTTGGTGCTTATGTCTGTCTGTTTGACGGTAGTAAACTTTATTGCAATCTTGTCAAGGGTTCGTGTAGACACCGGCGCACTTTTAGCCTGAGTCTGGCAGGGGTTGCAGTTCCAGGGGCCAGATTCACGAAGCAGTTACGCAAGTATTTATGAACCTGTACATCTTTTCTCAATCTTTGATGGCTTTGTTTACAATTATTAAACAGTTAATGAGCTCGGAAGCACCAGGAGGCTGTTTATAACAATAACAACAGATGATTGGCAAGTTTTCATGCTTGTAAACTGTTTCATAAATGTAAACAAAGCCGTCAAAGATTGACGAAAGGTGTACATGTTCGTAAGTACTTGCGTAACTGCTTCGTGAATCCAGCCCCAGGTGCCCCCCACGCCACGTGTAAACAATGCCGCGAGTAATAGACTGCTCTAGCTGGAAGTAATGTTACATTCTGGGGAGAGAAATATAAAATAATTGAGAATCCTGAGGGATGTGACTTTCCCTCGTTCCTCTACGTATCCTCCTGTCTGAGGGCGTTAAAAGGCTGCATGGTTTAACATCCCGACAAAGCCAATTACATACCCAACTCACGAAGATGATGTAGAAAAGACAGGTGAGTTAGGAACATTCACCTGCAGCCAGTTTGCACATGATGGGGCACTGCTCTTTCTCCTCTGTTTAATTTTCATTGGTCAAAATCATTCTGCAGTCTCGAGACTGGGATCTTCTTATCTTGAGGTTATCTTGAGATGATTTCGGGGCTTTAGTGTCCCCGCGGCCCGGTCCTCGACCAGGCCTCCACCCCCAGGAAGCAGCCCGTGACAGCTGACTAACTCCCAGGTACCTATTTACTGCTAGGTAACGGGCATTCAGGGTGAAAGAAACTTTGCCCATTTGTTTCTGCCTCGTGCGGGAATCGAGCCCGCGCCACAGAATTACGAGTCCTGCGCGCTATCCACCAGGCTACGAGGCCCCTACGAGGCCACCTACGAGGGATAGCTAGAGATTCGAAAGGGTTAGGGGAGGTAGAGCCTTGACCTTCCTGGTACTTTCCCTGTGTCTCCGTCTTAGGAAATCCATTGACTCATTACTCGCTAGTCACGTTACCTCACATCTTCAATTCTGACCTCGTCCCGTTTTCTGTTGTGGATCTTGTCCTCTACCCCTCTTGCGCATTTAAATCTCCCGCCAAAGCTTGTAATATTTATTTAATCATTTATTATGCACCCCATACCCATCCCGTGGGCTGTGGTAGAAAGGGTTACAGACCCACACAATGGGCTCAGTGGTTCAAGAAGTGTCCCACAACAGGCTCTATACAAGGCAACTTACATCTGCGGTCGGTCATTTACACAGTTACCAGTCCTGTTCCACACTCACCCAACTGGGCGGCAGCTTTACAGTCATGTGCATACATTACTTACAGTAAACAAAGTCTGGTTACTTGGCTAAGATTTCTGGAAGACCATAATTCTGAATGAAGTACTTACTCATTTATTGAACAACATTGATAGAGTTTTCTCTGAACTCTGCTATTTATTTACATTCGGTTACATATTGACGTAAATTATGTGACTAGTTCTACTGACAGTTTCCATTTAGTCAAGTCTACATCGGTAGATGTTGCAAGTACTTGTAGCCGAGCCTGAGGCTAGCATGGATAACGTCCAGAAGTCTGCTAACCTTATTCGGTAATCCATAGATGTGCAGTTCTTCCTGCATAATGATGATATATGGAGTGAAGTACCGGGTATATATTTCATGTTTCTTCAAGTCTACTAGAATCTAGATTACAGTTCCCGGAATATTACTGCCCTCAGGCTACTCAAAGGCAATCTACGATGGTAATCCAGTCATTCTTTAAGAGTACATGTTTTGGCTAACTCACTTTAAACTCATCAGTTCTGTCATGCATGCTGAGGCCAATATGGGAAGGAATCCACAAGAGACAAACTCAGACTCTATCACTGATTATTTTATTATATCTGTGGCTGGCTTCAGACACAAGCACATTACACTTGTGCGAGTGGGAGCTGAGTGCTGTACCGAAGATATCTACATTTCCTCCCTTTTCCCTGTTCGGAAGTGACTTATTTCCCCTTCTTCCGTCCCCCCACCTCTAGGGTTCTTGCGCCCCTCACAAATACTTTCTCTTTAAGGAAGAAATCTCTTGTTAGGTCTTTGTCATCTAGTATTCAGATTTCAGGGCCTTCCATTGCTTTGAAGGCTCCCTAAAGCTTCGTGCTGGCTTCTGTTAGCCCTTTCAAGCTCATTGACGTTGATTTCTGTTAAGTTAGCTGCTTTGGGCTCTGCTGCTAATCCACCGTCGCTGTCTCTGCTAACACCTCTGCGGCAAATCAACCGTCGGGAGCAGCTGTTTGTAACCAGGCAATTTGTTCCTCGGGCCAAACTATGCCGGGTGTCCCAGCTAAGGTGTCCCGGCAATCCTCCTAAACTTGGAGTGTCTTCTAAACCTTCTTGATACATTTTCCTTAATGTAATCGTCTACAAGAGACTATGCTAGGCTATTGTAAGTTTCCCGCTCCGAGGAGATACACAGGTAATCATTCTCTCTCTTACCTGACTTAGCGGTGGAGTCAGCTATTACCGCTCCA